AGCACGTCGAATGTCCTCAGACGGGCACTGCGAGTAAAAATGTAGAGACTCCTGCTGCCATTTATTTCAACTAGAACACAACCAGTACTGTACATTTTCATTGTTTTTAATTTAACAGTGATGAATCATTCACCTATGAATCATTCAAGCATAAAAAGGCTCACCCAAACCAAGGGATGCACCAGTTTTTGTCTAAACATAACAAACAACCTAGCAAAAAAAAAAAAATGTTTTAAATCACATCTTTACACAGTTCATTACTAGAAAGCCTGTCAGAAATGCAAACACAATTTGTTCCCATTTCTTTAGCTGAATCTATGAAAAAACACCAAAGATAACAGTTTGACGAGCATAGAAATTGTGTTTTTCCACCAGTAGGGCAAATACCAAAGTGCTATTAGGTGGAAACCTAACTTATTGTGGCAGTATGCACTTCCACGATTAGAGGAAACTAGTCAAATAGCAGAAATGGGCAACTGGGAGCTAAAAACTACCAGCAAATAAATCACTATCTGAAAGTTACGTCCTTAAGAAATGGGACAAAATCCAGCAAAAACCCAACTGGCCCTTTTGTTGAGCCATTCGTTTGTTAAAGCCTCGTCAAAAATGGTGTGAGGGGAAGGGTGGCTGTTAAGAAGCCAGACTTTTCTAACCCTGTCAGCCAAGTGGAAGCTAACTTGGCTCGTCTTTTAGTATCAATTCATATGTAAATTAGGTCGTTACCTGAGAATTCTGGATGGGAGTGGGGGGTGTGTGAATGATTGCTGATTTCTAACTGCCTCTTTGTTTTTTTTTGTGTGTGTGTGTGTGGGGGGGAGCTGCTAAAAGCTGTGAACTTCCTTTTGTGTTGAGGTGGATATAATCTCACTGCACTTGGCCTAATCCTTCATTGCCCTGAAGAATTCTGTGGTGTACGGACCTCCTCTCCAAGGAAAGAAAATGCAGAGAAGACTCACCACTCAGCAGGCCTTGGAAATGATCCTGAGTGAAGTCAACCCTTGTGACTCGGATGGAGAAGACCTAGAACTTCAGCCGGATTCGGACTCAGAGCTGTCTGATCAGTCTTCCGGTAAGGTTTCATTTCATATTGTTTCCTATTTCATTTCAAACAAGTAAGTGGATGTAGTAAGTAGAGATGGACCGATCCGATATTACGTATCGATACTGACCCAAATTACTGGATCGGATATCGGCGAGAAATAAAAAATGTAATCCGATCCATTAAATATCAAAAAAGCACCTCACAAA